GGTCCACAGCTGGCTCCGGCTCCCCTCGCACGCCCGCTCTGACCTCCTTCTCCGGTTCCCTGACTTGCTGCCTCTGCCCTCTTCCTTCCTGATCTTGCACATCCTCCAGACTCTGCTGAGCCCCGTGTTCCCCACCAAGGCTTCCACCAGCCCTGCAGTGGCCCTCCTGCTGTTTCTGGAAAGTGGTCTGGCTAGAACACCCCAGGCCACTCATGTGGTGCTGCGGGGCCCCTGCAGCAGCAGAGTCCAGTCGTGCTGCCACAGAGACTGTGTGGCCCCAAACCCAAGACAGTCCCCCTTGGCAGACAAAGGGTTTCCACCCTGCTGGAGCCCATAGCGCAAGCTCTGCGTGGTGAGGAGAAGCACAAAGAGAGGGCTTGAGCCCCCCCGTTGACCTCTCTGCTTCTCCATGTAGGGCCATCCAGAAGGCCAGCTGGCACTCGCTTGGTTTCTTGTGCTATTGGGTTTCCACCCTGCTGGAGCCCATAGCGCAAGCTCTGCGTGGTGAGGAGAAGCACAAAGAGGGGGCTTGAGCCCCCCCGTTGACCTCTCTGCTTCTCCATGTAGGGCCATCCAGAAGGCCAGCTGGCACTCGCTTGGTTTCTTGTGCTATTTCTGAAAAGTGAGGGAGAAAGAGTGGAATCTTGCGGGTGTTTACCTAGCGTGTGGGCATTCATGGCCATCTTGTGGAGATAATCCCAAGCCAATTCTAACACCACATTTTGTTCCTGGCCACCTGTGTACACACAATAAGTAGCTCCCTCTGCTTTATTCTTTCAAATCAACTGCAGATTCTCCCCCTTTAGGTATGAACTAGGGTTGAGCCAAGTACAGCCTAAGAAGAAAGGGGCTCCATCAGACATGTTGAGCATGAAACTTCCTTCAGGAGTAGGAGTCGGGGACACTATGGCTTAGCGGTGGCCGAACCCCCATGCACCAGCACAGGGAGCTCTTCTTCCACAGCTGTGCCCACCAAGGCTGCGGGCTCACAGACCACCTCCAGCCTCCGGGTGCCACCGGGCGAGGCACAGCCTGAGAAGAGAGGTTCGGCATGGCTGGCCTGGGGTGTTCATTCCCAACTATCACAGGTCGCTCATGGACTCAAACCTTCATCCCACCTTCCCTGATAAGCACCACCCAGCATCAGATATTTCTCAAAGGCAAACTCTAAGAACACCTGCTATTCTGCAGAACGGGCAGGAGACCTGGGAAGGAGTCGTGTCCTGAGTTCGAGAAGATAGATTATTGACTCCTCTTGGGCCTGGGTTCAGGTCAGCTTCCGGGGTGTGACAGGCTGAGTAGAGGCCATGACTAAAAAGAGCTTCCAGGGCTCACTCTCACCAGAGCCCCTGTCCCCGGGATCACCGGCTGTAGGAACGTGCATTCTGGTCACATGCCCCAAATTTTCTGAGTGACCAGCACTGTGCATGGCAGGACCCACGTGGCTGACGCTGGGCGTCCTCCCCCTTGGCTTCTGGGCCCTGGCTCTGTGTAGGTCTGCACCTCACACCCTGGAAATGCCCATTGAACAAGATTGTGGCCGACAGGGTAGCGGGCCCTCAGAAGGCCTCCCCTGTTTTAAGTCCTCCCCTGCTCTCTCCCATGGCTCCCTGGGCCTTTGAGCTGCTCCAGAAAGCTTTTCCATAAGATCTACAGACACCACCCCACCTTTGTTCTGTTTTTACTGCACTGTGCATGCTGGAAGCTGCTGTTAGAAAGAGCTGGCCAGTTTGAATACATCGCCAGTTTGTAGATGGGAATGTGGCTGGGAGAACTCAGAGAGCTGGACATAGCATGGGACAGTTATTTAATGAAGCCTCCTCCTTCTCCCTCTTTTCACCCAGCTCAATGACTCTGCCAAGCTGCTCATGGAGATGGACAAGCCCTGCCCAGCTGCTGCGTCTGGTTGCGACACCTTGCCTTCTGTCCCCAGCGTGGTGGCCAGTGTGGCCCCAGCTCCTGCTGTAAGCAGCTCGGGGGCGGTCAGTGCCTTTCAGCGGCGTGTGGATGGCAAGAAGAATACCAAGAAACGCCACTCCTTCACTGCGCTTGGTGTGACACACAGGTCCTCGCAGGCTGCCAGCCACAGGCATTCCATGGAAATCAGCGCCCCGGTTTTGATCAGCTCCAGCGATCCCCGTGCTGCGGCCAGGATTGGGGACCTTGCTCATGTGTCGTGTGCTGTTCCTGCCCAGGTAACATCCATGGGCCACAGTCGGCATCTGTGGGTCCTCTGGGGGTCCGTCCTGCAGCCTCAGCAGCCCCAGTCCCTGAACTGGTATGAAGGATGCCACACCAGACTGCCCTCTGGGGTTTGCTGCCTGCCATTGGGGACCCCCTGAGGTCTTGGTAAATGTTTGAGCAGTGCCCTGTGTGGTTCAGAAGGGGATCTGATGGTGTGTGAGGTGACTGTTGGTGTCCAGGGACACAGCATTTGAGTCACATCCACTCACCTCATGAGAAGCTCTTCTGTGTCTGTTGATTGTGTCCTGGAAGAGTCTTGGCTTAGTGCTAGTGGTGTGTTTTCAGCATCTCTGTAAAGCTTGGTAATCTCCCTTTCAACAGAGGGAGAAAGATCCAGAGTTCAGAACCGGAGTTAGTTAACCGCATTGTTTCCTACTTTGGTTGCTGTTATTTCTACAGATACCTTCTACATGTGACATAGATTCCACTTCCATCAGTCTCTTTGTAAATTTAAGTAACCAAAGCAACGTGTTTAAAGAACAATGCTAAGTGATTATCCGTAGCTCTGGCACAACCCATCACGGTGGTATGTGAAGGGCAGAAGTTGGTTAAATTTCTGCTTTGTGGATGCAGAGACTGTGGCCGGGGTGGAAGGGGCTCTCTAAGTGCCAGGCAGTGTGGGACGGGGCGGTGCCACCCAAGACTGAGGAGGGGCAGAGTCTCCGCACTGGGCTGCGGCCTCCTCTCCTCCAAGTCCTGCTCCCTCAGGACTGTGGAAATGTGCACAGGAGAGCCGGGTGGTGCCTGCGCTGTCCCTCCTGGTCTGTGCCTTGTCACCCAGTGGCCCGTCTGCCAGTCTCACTGCACATGCCCTCCAGGGTCACCTCTGAATGCCCCTACTGGGCCTCAGAGCAAGGGCACCCGTCCATGGGCCGCACTGGCAAAAACACCTATAAGCAACTAGCTGGGGGAGAACCATCTTTTTCAAAATTACAATTAACTCAGAAAACTTTGCAAAGAGAATTGTCTTTAAAAATTAGCCGAGCTTCTGAAGAATGGTAATGTGGTCTGGATGTGCCACATCAGCCTAAAAATGACCTTCCACGCACACCTGTGCACACGCACGCACGCACATGCATATACACATATACAGCCATGCACACACGTACATAACACATTCTGGATGTGCCACATCAGCCTAAAAATGACCTTCCACGCACACCTGTGCACACGCACGCACACACATGCATATACACATATACAGCCATGCACACACGTACATAACACACGTACACCCATGCACACAGCACGCACAAATGTGCACACACCTACACACATGCACATGCACACATAGACACACACCTGTGCACATATACAAACATACACCCGTGCACATGCACACACATATACCTGTGCAGGTGCACATGCACACACACATGCACATGCACACATAGACACACACCTGTGCACATATACAAACATACACCCGTGCACACGCACACACATATACCTGTGCAGGTGCACATGCACACACACATGCACATGCACACATAGACACACACCTGTGCACATATACAAACATACACCCGTGCACACGCACACACATATACCTGTGCAGGTGCACATGCACACACACATGCACATGCACACATAGACACACACCTGTGCACATATACAAACATACACCCATGCACACACACACACATATACCTGTGCAGGTGCACATGTACACACACATGCACATGCACACATATCCACACACCTGTGCACATATACAAACATACACCTGTGCACACGCACACACATATACCTGTGCAGGTGCACATGTACACACACATGCACATCACATATAGACACACACCTGTGCACATATACAAACATTCACCCATGCACACCCACACGCATATACCTGTGCAGGTGCACATGCACACACACATGCACATGCACACATATATACACACATACACCAGTGCACATGCACGTGCATGCATATATTCCTGTGCACATGCATGTGCATGCATGTAAACACACACTCATGCACACACCTGCACACACATCCAAATGCTGGTTCTCATCAGAGGCTGAGGTCGCAGTATTGAATGGTCACTGTGGTGTGTGGAGTGTTTGCTGCCATGACCTGTGTGTGTACTCACCTGCTCCCACAGGTGACCCACTGCTCCAAAGATCCTGGAGTTTGTGCCTTGAACCCATATACCCTAGGGAACAGTCCTTGGGGATGCTGGTGTGTTTTTCATAAGGGGAAAGGTTCAGCCCTGACCGGGACCCTAGCCCTGCCCCTGACTGGTGCTAAACTCTTCAAGCCTTGCTTGAGCACCTACTGTCTGTAACTAGGTGGTGGGCCAATGTGAGTAGGTGGCAGGCCAGCCTGGCCCTGCTCCCTGCTCCCTGTGAACATGCACATCTGCGGGAAAAGCCAGAGAGCGGTGGTTCCTGAGATAGTCTTTCTTGTTCTTTGATTGAACATTCTGGAGATGCTAAGTGAGAGGCACAGCCAAAACATGGGGCACAGGTGTCCTAGGGGGGCTGAGACTCAGGGGAGCTCGCCCTGTTTGTCACCAAAGACAAGGAGTGACAGCTCCAGTCCAGAGCTCAAATCCCTGCTGGTAGCCTGGGTGGCAGTTGGCAAAGGGGACACCGGAAAGTTGTGTCCTGAAACAAACTCATTCAGAGGGGAGTGGGAGCAGGTTGACAGGAGTCCCAAGAATGGGAAGGAGAGCGGGGGCCGGGCACGCCTGCAGCACTGGGCAGGGCTTACGTCTCCATGCTCCTAGACAGGAAGGCCACCTCGCTGCAGTCAGGGACCCCATCAACCAGAGAAAGAGAAACAGCCAGGGATGGGGGGGGACCTTATTCCTGATCACAGCCACACGAGGACCTGGAGTGGCCAGGCAAGAGCCGCCTTCCCAGGATATCTGGTCTCTGCATCCTGAAGCCTGAGATCATATGTCCAGTGCTGCCCTCTCAGGGCGTCTGGTCCCGTAATCTGTGGTCATATGTCCAGTGCTGCCCTCGCAGGGCGTCTGGTCCCATAATCTGTGGTCATATGTCCAGTGCTGCCCTTACAGGGCGTCTGGTCCTGCAGTCTGTGGGTCCTATGTCCAAGGTTCACCATCCCTTGCTGTGTCCTGGGTGTTCTGAAAAAGGAGTACAGCCAGGCCTCTGACGTCAGCAGCGCTGAAGGAGGCCCGGCGTTTTCTCCGGCACGTTCTGTCTTGCCCATCATGTGGCTGGACACACGTGCAGGCTGGGTCCAGCTTTCTCTGCTCCTTCTGGCATCTTTGCCCACATGCAGCTCTTCAATGGCTTCAGCCTCTGTGTCATACAGGGCGAGTGACGCTTTCAGGCTCTGTAGTCTGTGTCTGCTGTAGAGAGCCCTTGGACCAGGAAGGGAACAGGTTTTTAAAAAGGTATTTGTGCACTCCCTTCCAGAAGGATTAGGATTAGCTTATTGTCAGTGGGACTGGGATCCTGGGATCCTGGGATCCATTCTCCAGTACGTGAGGTAAAAGTCATGGCCAGGCTGTGGACTTTAGTTGGGGTCGCTGCGAAGGGACCCAGGTCGGACAAAGCAGGGGAGCCTCTCGGTGTGCCACTCTGACCCAGCTGCAGGGAAGCGGAAGGGAGCCATATGCGGGTGTGAGCAGGGGTGGGCTGCCACGCGCCACCCCACTGCCCAGGCTCCACCTTGTTCTGTCTGTGCCAGAGACCCAGCCCTGTGCTGTGGCCTGCCATGCTTCCTAGTTCCTGTCACTTGCTGGACACCTATGTCTCATCAGGATGTCTCCTGCCCTTACGACTGGCCCATGGCTGCCATGGCCAGCCAGACACAGGTCTCACAGTCGCTGCGTGGATCCTCCTCCCCCCACTCGCCCTGGGAGAGTGAACACAGGCCCAGAATTCTGTGGCTAGCAGGTGGCACTTGGACTTTGGGGTCATCGGCCTGGAGAGGTCCAGCACATTGCATATATGTGTTTGTCCATGGAGGGTGGCCTGCCGTGCCAGTGCCAGTATTGTGGGGAATGGGAGCCCACAGGGCATAGGGTGACACTGGCTGGGTGAGGGTCACTGCAGCAGCCAGCTCCCGGCCCCTCACACAGACATCTTCACGACAAGATGAATTCCCGGCCCCTGGGGATTGGGAATGGGGGAGACTGGCGTGTGAAGTAGACAAGGCCGGTTGTCTAGGACCTACGCCTACCAGTCATAACCTTTAAATGGGGACAGAGAACACCGTGGCTGCCCGTGACCTGGTGTCCTGACTTTGTGTTGAGCGCCAAGCTCTTCATGCACAGCATCAGGTGCTGATGGTGTTTCTTTTGCTGCTATGAAGAGATAGGAGCCGTATCCACAGGTTTCTGCCTGTGCCTCTGGGCCATCCGCTGGCAGATGAAGGAGGCACACATCAGGGAATGTCCCTGGCATGCCCTTGGCATGGTGAGTGCCAGGAACTGTAGGTGGGCACATGCTGGCCTCTGCAGTGCTTGGGTGGCTCCTGTGTTGAAGCTACGTCCTGTGGGGATGCATGAAGGGCTCCTCATGCATCCCAGCCTCTGGGACCATTGGGGTCCTAGGAGATGAAGTCAGAAGGGCCCTGGGACAGCATGAGTTGGGCAGGGAGGGCTGCTGAGGCCCCTGAGGTCAGCTTCCTCCAGGAAGTCTGTCCACGTCTGCTCAGGAATCTGGTGCAAATATTGCCCTGGCTCTTGGGGTTGCCTCACTCTTCCCCCCCTCCCCCCAGAGCACGCCCGCTCTGCCCTCCTGCCACGCAGCCCTCACGGACCCTGTGCCCTCCACACTGGCTCTGCACCCAGGCCCGTATGGCCAGACTGTGAGCTCTGCTGAGGCACAGGGCGCCTTCTCTCTTTGTGCACTTGGTGTCAGGGTACAGCCGGCACACAGCCTCTCAGACAGATGGACAGATACATGGGAACACTGAACTGGAGCTGAACAAAAGGGTTTTTCAAAGCCCGTCCTACCTGCAGCCTCTCCT